ATTGCCCTCTATATTAATCACCTCCTCTTAACTTAAGCAGAAGATTACAAGTTTGACCCTCCGCAGGTATGATAGATGCATAAGATCAATGTGTCCTGTAGATTTATTTACAATATTTTCTTGACCAGATTTTATATATAGTATTTTGAATACAAGATCAGGAAAAATTCCATGGTGTTTTGATAAAATAGTCTTCGCTCTTCTTCAATTTTGAAGCAAACCTTCCATATTAATTTAAATTTTTTGAAATGAAATTATGCTTAAAAACGGTGAAAGGGAAAGAGATAAAAAAAAAAAAACAGATATGCGGCTGTACCTTTATGCTAATTGTAAATACTAAATAGCATAATTAAAGAGTGTGTTTGTGTGTGTGTCTTCAATTTAATCTTAATTACGTAATGGATTTTTTTTAAAAAAAATTTTACATCAGTATTTTTTGAATCTTGGATTTTTAACTCCATTCTTATCACTTAAACTATACTCAAATTAATTAATGACTCAAGTATATGATTTGTATATGTTTAATCTGACATTTTTCTTCGATAAGTTTTTCTTAGATAAGAATCAGAAAAAAGAAAAATTAAAAACAAAAAGATCTTGAGCAACATAATGATAAATAAAGACCATACAATAGTAAAATGATTTATCAAAGGATTCTTTTTTTTTTTTAAACCCAAAGTCAAAGAACAAATAGAACCTAACGCCAAGTTCTTTGACCTCTCATTGCTGCCCGTTCCTCTCATTCGCTGCCTCTTCTCTATTCGCCACTTGAAATGTTTTATAAGTGTAAAATGAAATTTGAATTGTATAATAATTAAACTAAAATATTCTAAGTATCATTCTAGTTTACATTAATTACACAGACCTCCCTTCTATTTTAAAAATATACAGTTTAGTTTAATAAGTTAATATCGTCAAAAAGATTCTAAAAACACTGTTTTTAACTGAAATTTATATTATAATAAATTTTATTTACTATTTTACCTCTCATTGTAATAAATTTATAAATTATATTTTACAATTATATGAATTTTATTTAGTTAAGGCAATACAAAAGACTTGATTAAAAATTTAACTAATTTTTTAATAAATATATATATAGTTGACTGAATATGTTTATAAATTTTTATAATAAAGATGTGTTTAAAAATTTTGAATTATAAATTTATATAATTTATAAAATCTTTTAAACTTATATCATTTAAAATTTATGATAAATAAAAATTTTGTATTTAAAATATATTTTTACAATTAAAAGAAATCAAAATAAATGATTTCTAATGAATGTGATAAAAAATTAAAAAATAAAATTTTATGATTTAAATCAAAATTAATAAATTTTATAACATATCAGAAATTTTTTAAAAAAAATATGTAGCAGAATTTTTTTGATTTTATAAAAAAATTTTGAAAAATATAAATGTCTAAATAATTATTAAGCTAAAAAGGGGTGTTTTGGTTAAAAGATAATTTAAAGTCAAACTTAACGGTCACATAACCGTTTGGGTAGATGAAAATAAAATCTTAAATATAAAAAGGAGATTTGTGTAATATATATTTTTATTTAAAGGAGGTTTATATATGTTTAAAATAAAAAGAAGGCTTGCGTAATTGAAATATAATAAAAAGGTAGTTGGTGTATTTTATTCTAATAATTAAATAAGATGACAAGAGCCAACTAATTTAAGCGATAAAAAATCCGTTTCACTAGAATAGAAATAATATGTTTATTAATAGTTTTCTTTTTAACGAGACAAACACATACATACACAAAGATATATATTTTTCTTTTAACAAGGGCTTTGTCCTATTGAGTTTTTTTTTTTTTTAAGTATGGCTCTAACAAGGCACATTGTTTACTTGTGGATATTTAAGAATGAGTGTTATAAATATTATTACAACATATGAACGTCCATAACCTCTCAAATGTCATTTGGAGGTCTACACTTAAAACTCTTCATTAATGATTTTTAGGAGTTTTCATTATATATGTTTAATTTATTGTATTATATATATTTTTATTACTACTTCCGGTTCTAATTATAAGATTTTGTTTATAAATTGTAAACAAAATCTTATAACTAAGAATGGAAGTAATATTTATTTATGTAACTCTTGATCTAACGCTAGAGGCTTACAAGTAGAGTATAGAGGCTATGTGAGGCACTTAAGACGCCTAAAACGAGTGGGATTCTTCCTATGCCTCATCCCTACTACAACCCTCTCTCACCCTATTAAAGCCTTTTATATTTATACGTTTCATAACACGTTTAAAAAATTTATTTTTATTTAAAAATAACACATTTTACTCTATGCTTTTACTGTTCTAACCATAGAAAAGGGGTATTAGTGACAAAAATTAGTACTTATCTGATTTTAAATATAAAACCTACTACTTTATATTCTTAATATAAGAGTTTATCTGACTTTATTTTAATCCTAAATATAAGATCCCAATTAACTTTATCTTTCATATTTATCAATTTAATCATAAAGTGATCCTTGTAATAATGATAGTTCTAACCAATATACTAGTATTTGATTAGCGAGTATATTTGAGGAAAAACAACATCTATTATTACAAATAACAAACATAACTAATTTTCTTAATCTATTGAAATTAGTCAACTAACTTTTATATTAAAAATAAGAGATAATATTTTATAATATAAATTATATTATAAAATGAATCTTATATCTAGAAATATGTTAGCATTTGTATATAGTAAAATGAAAAGCACTAGGCAATCCTCAATCAATTCATGACATTAAGAAACGGTACAAAATTAGGTGCGAAAATTTAAGATTGGCAAAAACGTTCGTACGCGTTCCTTATTTTCTTCTCGTTGATCACTCATTGTTGATTAATGGAAAAGATTTAATCAAAGGAAGGGTCACTTCTACGAAAATCCTAATCCAACCGTGGCCCAAAAAGCCGTCTTATAAAAGGAAACCTGACAAAGACACTTTCGGAAAAATAAAAAATAAAAACTCCTTTAATAAAGAAACGCTGCGCGGCTTTTAATTCATCAAGTTATTCCGGATACCTTCTTAATTGCTAATTTATAAATATTATATAAATAGATTGTTGTAATTTTTATTCTTTTCATTAAGTTTTTGTGGTTTTCTTAAGCTGTTTAGTAAGAAAAACAAGGTTAATAAAAGATGGACATGACTCTCATCCAACATATACCTATATCAATTTTACCTACTTTTTTAATTTCTTTGCACAAAAAGTCATGTCCTGCTTGTCTTAGCGCTTGTTATCTGAAAACCAACTATTTTTGTTAAGTATGTATATCTTTTTATTACAAATAATTCTATTTAAGATATTGTTGGGCATTAAGTTATCTATCCGAACAAATATTCAAATTTTGTATCGTTTTATTATGAGAGATTAACTTCTTCGGTTAAATTCGTCTACTATTAGTTTAAAAAATAGCATTTTTAGTCATAATTAACAAAATACTAGATAAATATATAAAAAAAATTTCACATGACTATGTAATAGATTCACCGCCACATTGTCCATATATTTTATATTTACAGTTTAATGATGATAATGGAATTAAGGAGTCCATAATTACTTTCTATAAAAATCAGCACCACTTTTAGTTAGCGAAGGAGAAGCGTTAGGTATATTTAATTATTTATCATTATTTATAATTATTAATATTAGAACTAACGGTCTCAACTCCCAAAGAGATGGTCGCTGTAGCTGTTAGCCACTAATGTGGCATTCTGCCTCTTTCTTTACCGTTAATTCCTGAAAAGTCAGCACCGAGACATCAAACCATGAATAAAGTTGTAATAAAAAATTTGTAAAGACAAAAGAAGAGAGCAAAAGTATATAAAATTATATTGTATGACCCAAATTTAATACTATTTATAATATAAACCCAGAATAAACTCCAATCATTCTCCAATGCAAAAGGACCTATATTTCTTTGTTTTTTTTTGAATTAAATACTAGATAACATTACTTACAACAACTGAAAATTATATCTAGTCTCCCTCTTCACTTTCCTCCTATGGGCACATAAGTGCAAGAAATTGTAGCTAATCATATGACATAATTTAGCAGGAAATTTTTTTTTTTGGGTGAGTATTTAGCAAGAAATTGGCAATGTAATTATCCTGCTTGTAAACATGGTATAAGGACTTATAGTTCATGTTGAAGCTTTTCCAAAAGGTTATCACCTAAGTTTTGCATAACTATATTTTAAAAAAAATTACAATTATCCTTAGGAATATTAAATTTTTATCACATTATTTCCCAAATTCTCATTTTACAAATTACAATTTATAGTTCCTTAAACTATAAAATAAAATATGATAATTAGACTTAGATTATAGGCTTTATATATTATCTTACTTTTAAACTTTTTTCATTAAAATTTCATCACATAATTTTTTTCTGTTATAAAAGACTTCATTATTTCTTAACATTGTTTATTTTAATTGTCAAATTAGAAAGTGTCTTCGTTATCAAATATAAAAGCTAGTAAATGATTTTCTTTTATTGCAAATATGAGATTTCAATTTGTTATCTTTTAAATTTATAATTTTTTCTTAAATTATTTCTATTTTATGATTATTATCTTTTTTAATGTTAGAATGGACAATATATGATTATACTATGGAGCTTTAAAATTTCTTTATGCCTATTCTTTAAGTATTAAAAGTTATAATGAAAAATTTTAAGTCATAAGGAATTTTTATGCTTATCATTACCGAAATCTAAATTTCTAACCATAAAGGCATGTTTGTCCATCAATGACAAAAGGAACATTTTTATCATAAAAATAACTTAAAACTGTGTCTTTGATCATAAATTTAACCAGGTCTGGGTACACCAATGTAATTTTCTATGCGGGTCTGTTAGTGTAATATTTTCCAAACGAGAAAGGCAAAAGTGGGGCATGATGCCCAGCTGGCCCAAGCCCACGTACCTTTCTTTGAAGACATCCAAAGCGAAGGAAAAGCTGTGGAATTCTTATTCTTCTCTTCCGTTAGATTAGGTTCATACTCAATTGATTTGATCCTTCTTTGCTTTCACGCTTTCAAGTTGCGAAGTTTTAATTCGCTCAGAATATGCCTGAAGTGGATAGTTCCTCCACCAAACCCCCTCAAATCTCCGAGATGTTCCAGAAATTTGCCCTCGCTTTCAAGACCAAAACCTTCGAGTTCTTCGCCGACGAAGATCAGGCCGCCGGCGCCGCAGGTGAAGACTCCGATGGCTTCTCCCTCTTGGATTCTGCCGAAGATTTCATCACCGACCAGAAAGTTGTGGTGATCAAACCAGATCCAGCCTGCAATTTCTTTCGCGAAACGACGCCGTCTCCGCCTGAGCCGCCCATAGCGAAGCCTGCGGTTGAGAGCTCCGTGAAGAAGTTGGAGCAAACTGAGAAATTATTGTCGCCGGCTCAACAAGCGGCAGTGACGAAGTCATTGAGCGAGAGTGAGATCAGAGCATTGAATACTCAGATGATGCACACGGTGATTTCCTCGATCTTCGCCACGGTTTCGTCATTTGAAGCTTCGTATGTTCAGTTGCAGACTGCTCATGTTCCGTTTATTGAGGAAAATGTGAAGGCGGCTGATAGAGTTTTGGTTTCACACCTTGAGAGACTATCCGAATTCAAAAAATTCTTTAGAGATTGGCAAAGGAGTCCTGATTTTGATTCTGAATTTCCTATCAGGTCTTGCTTAGGAGCTCAGGTGGAAGAAAATCAGAACAAGCTGCGGACTCTGGGGACTGTTTCGAACCGCTTACAGTCAGAGCTTGAACAAAAACATGATGAGGTTTCGGTTCTGAGGAAAAAGTTGGACGAAATTCAAAAGACTAATGTCAAGTTGTCCAAGAAGTTATGCGGTAACTTGAATTCTTCTAATGATGTTTTGCTAACCGTAAGAGTGTTTGATTCGGTCTTGCATGATGCTTCTAGGGAAACTCACAAATTTACTAAGATATTGATTAGTTTGATGAGAAAAGCTGGGTGGAACTTGGATGTAGTGGCCAACGCAGTTCATCCAAACATCAACTATGCAAAGAAAGGGCATAATCAGTTTGCACTTTTGTCATATGTATGTTTAGTGATGTTTCAAGGTTTTGATTTGGAAGATTTTGGGATGAATTCCGGTGAACCCATGTCAGATGGCCATGATTTAGATTCAGAAAATAAAAGTAGGTTTTTGAAGCAACTGCTTGAGCATGTATCCAGCAATCCAATGGAGTTGCTTAGCATCCATCCTACTTGCGAGTTTTCAAAATTTTGCGAGCAGCAATACGAGAGACTTATCCATCCTACGATGGAATCATCCATTTTCATTGATTTGGATGGAAATGAAACGGTACTGAAGTCATGGAGGTCAATAAGCATGTTCTATGATGCTTTTGTTAGAATGGCTAGCGCCATATGGACACTTCATAAGTTATCCCATGCCTTTGATCCCGTGGTAGAAATTTTTCAAGTGCAGAGAGATGTAGACTTCTCAATGGTATACATGGAGGATGTTACAAGGAGAGTTACTTGGCCAAACAAAAGAAGGGCAAAAGTGGGATTCACAGTGGTTCCAGGATTTAAAATAGGGGAGATAGTTATTCAATCACAGGTTTATCTGAATGACTTGAAATGTACAGAGTAGTATAAGTAGTTGTTCTTGTTCAAGATATGCTATCAGATGAGACTGTATTTGTAAGGTACCAAACCTGTTGGCGGCTCTGGCAGTGTACACCTTGTTTGCTTTTCATTGTAAGTGAAATCCACTGACTTTCCTGGAATTTATACCAAGAAGATGCCTGTTACAGATTGAGAAAGAAACGCTATGTATACCAGAAGAAGACGTTTGGTTCTTCTGCTGCTGTAGTGGGAACAAGGCAAGTTGTGACAAGTCTTCCCATCTATTTATTGTCAAAACTCATGTGCAATAGGTAGCCTGCGGACACTTCCCTTGTTTTATCTTTCTTTTCTGTTTGTCAGTTTTGTTTTGTTGTTTATAGGTTAGTTGTGTAGAGCTCTGTACAGAATACTACTCCGTTTCTGGGGACTATGAAAGCTGATCAGTCAATTGTGTATCTATCACTCAAAAAACGAATAAATGTTTCCTTATGGTTATCAGTAACATTTTATTTCAAGAATACAAGGCTTTATTTATGTTTTTTGCTAGCAAGTAACTTTATACTGTGGTTAGTAATTTTTTAATATTGTCTCTTTTGGTTCTGTTTTTGTTATGGGAAAATAAAGGTTCAAGTTCAAATGTTTCCCAGGTTTGGCTGGCTGAAAATCTTACCTCTTTGTATATGCACATTTTTTTTGGGATAATTCTGTTGCATGAATCATTTTTGTCCTGTTTTTGCCTGCCAACCCTCTTTCTGAACCTGGACTTAGGTATCCTATGATGAAAAAGTGGTAGGAGTGATATGTAGAGCCATGGCTGAGACCCACTAGATAGATTCCACCCATTTCTGTCTGTCATCATTTTTCTGCAGGAATCCACTCCACACGCAGCCTCCATGCCCACTTTAGCCATCGAATGATTGTTTTAGGATCCTTCAGATTCTTATGAAGTTGGATGTGTTGGCTGAAATAAACTGTTTTTGAGCGTTAAGTCCAAATATACTTATGAAATATTTGCAAATGCACACTTGGCGTCATAATATTTACATAGATGCAAAAGTGCTCATGAAGATTGCAAAAAGGTGTAAAAATGTCACGTCTGCTAATTTAAGCAAATGTCCTTTAACATTTAAAATAGGGTTAATACAATCTTTGGTTTCAAGTTTGTCCTTATGTTGATTTTCGTCTCTTAAGTTCTAAATCATAGGTTTTAGGGGCAAAATGGTTCATGTTTTTATTAAATTATAGGGACTAGTATTTTAAATAAAAAAAGACTTGAGGAGTTAATACTTATGATTTAAAACTTGAGGAATCAAAACTAAAATGAGAGTAAACTTGAGGGACTGAAAATTGTATTAATCTTTTAAAATATAAACAGATTTCCATCTTAATCCTGCTTTTGATTAGGCTCTGACAATTTTTGAATATGACCTGATAGTATTAGATATTAAATTTTGTCAAATAAAATAAAATAATGGTTTCTTAGTTATTAGTCGAAGGTAAAGCACCTACCTTCTCAAGTCGTTAGCGTTCTCGGGCAAGCATCCCGGAAAAAGGACCTTCTGTTTAATTTTTTTTTTTTTTTGGTAACAACGACCTTCTGTTTAATTTTATACTGCGAGGCCAGAAGCTGTTTCCTTCGACCCACTTTGTATTATCTTTCTTTGTTTATTCTGCAAATGGACTTAGAGAGCAATCATTTACTGCAACAAACAAGTTGATTGCCAGCTATGCACTGGAAAACGTAGCTGGGATCTGGTAAGATATTTGTCTTGGAACTTATTGTAGCTTTAGTTGGCTGCATCTTTAATCTAATATAATGTTGACGCTGTTTTCGTCAACCAACTTATTCCTTTGTGGTCATTATTTGGCAATGCTTAGTTTAGTTGGCTCTTCAACATGGATATTTGCTCTTGTTTGAGTGGATAAGTGTTTTTTTTTTTTTTAATAATACTCCTTCTTGTTATGAATGTAAAAGTTAGTAGATGAGTTTGTTATAGTATTTTCAAATTTTAATTCATAGTGTCTCTTAAATTTATAATTTTTCTCTAAATTCTTCATATTGATTATACGAATTAAGGGATTTTCATTGTGAGTGTAATGTCCAGTACAAATAATTAAAAAGAATATCTTAGAGAAATTATATATTTTTAAAATAATTAATTTTTTTTATGTATATACCATCTTGACCAGTTTGCTCCAATTTGAATTGAACTTCACATGGAATAAAAAAGAAATAAAATATTACCTCCAGTCCTAATTAGAAGAGCCAGTTGACTAATTTAAAGAGAGTAAGGAAGTAAGTTGAGTTAGTTATTTTATTGAGTTAGTTATTTTAGAGGATAAAAAAAATTCTTGTATCTCCTATTATATTTAAAAAGTAATGGTACATAGTAGATATTATTGAGAAATACGTAAGAGCTAATTAAAAAATTTTGTTTTGATCTTAAACGTAAGGCTTTACTTAATTTTGTCTCATAAATTTATATTTTTTTTCCTTCTAAACTCTTCTTATTGGATGCATATATTAAAGGGTTTTTTTATTAAGAAAATATTTTTCAATACAAATGATTTTAAACGGGTGTTTAGGGAAATTGATACATCTTTTTATAAAAAACTAAATTAATCTTTTAATATACATAAATATATATTTATATATTACATACATATATAACACTTACTTCGCTGCTACTTTTTGTTGTTATATGAGCTGGGCCCAAGTTACTGTTGCATCCTTCTTGTATGATTGACTATCGTTTAACTTTAGCACGCCTTGTCTCCTTTCCTTTGAAACGCATAATGCGGCCGAAAAATAATCCAATCATGATTTAACATAAATCATGCGAATCAATCTGGATGGTTTATGTCTGATACGTGTCCACCAAAATGTAATTTGGATCCGCACGTGATGGTTATGTGAGCAATATTATTGAAATTACATTATAAATCTAATAAAATTTGAATCACTTGGAAATGCTTGTTTAATTATTTTAAATTCATATTTAAGATTTTTATTTTGAATTTATTATTTATCCAAAGATAAACCCAATACTTAAGTTACTTCTTATTATATACTCTTTTGATTCTTAATATAAGACTTAGTCGAATAGTTGATGTTGCTTCCATACTTATCAATTTTTTTAAAATTAATTTTATTGATATTCTCTCAATAATAATCAAGTAGGAGAGGAAGGAAAGAAATTAGAAAGATGCTTAAGGTGTTTTATAAAAAGCATATTATATTAACTAAAACAACTAGCATCCTTAATCTACTCCAATTAGTTAATTACGTCTTACATTAAAGGCTAGAGGAGTATAATACTACTATGTAAAAGATAAAAAAAAAAATAAAGAGATCAAAATTACAGAGGTTAGAAAAAATAAAAATAAATAAATAATTTATCTTTTATGATTATCTGATATATGCGTTTTTCAATTTTACTACGTAAGAAGATGATTTATTTCTCTGTTAGTTCAGTCAACCTATGTTTACAAAGTTTGACTCATTAGTAAAGCTCTACCATATTAATTACCAAAAAATTTTGAGTATTTACAATAGTATTTCCCAAAAAGAGTAGATATTCATTAAAAATAATGTCTCATATCTATTAGAAAAATTTAATTAAATCCTGATTAATGCTCTCTTTATTCAAGAGATTAAATCCATAATTATTTAACTGAACAGCTATTATAATATTTTGGAGTATTAAGGTGAAAATTCATGAGCGTTGGACATCGATTCTATGGGGTTAAAATTACTATGATTTTAAATTTTTGGAGAAATATTGAATCCAATAAAATTTTTGAGTGCTTAGCACTCAAGTGAAAACTTCCAAGAAAAATTTACACTTTATCCTTTTTTTAATTACTTATACAAGTTTAGTTTCTTCTTTGAAAACTACAGTTACAAAGCATTCCTTCAATTCCCTGTAAAAGCTGAATAACTAAAGAAAAAAGAACTTTTAATGCTGAAAAACAACCAAAAAATACACATTACCAATAAATAATGAATTTGAAAAGTTATTGTAACAATACAAACAGTACGATGTATGCAATTCATGAAATTACTCTATAGGAAATTTGAGCCGACACAATGGACATGTATGGTATGGCCTGTTTTTAGCCATTTTACAATGCAATTATTGTGGAAAAAATGGTCACAAGGCAATGCAAAAGCATCTTCGCAACCATCATCATCTTCATCAAAACTTTCTAAGCAAATGCTACATTGGCTTGCCTCCATTTTATCATTGGACAATTCCATCTTCTTTAGTGGTGATATAGCCTTTTCTGTTACCGAAACTATAAACAATTGTTGCGTGGATTGGTCTATGGCTTGATTCACTTCTGTTGATTCATCAGAATTAGAAGATTGTTGATGATGAATGGATGGCTCTGTGGGATGATAGACTTCTCTATATATCATATATTCATCGTATTCATTGTCTGAATATAGAGCAGTAATTTGGAGATGAAAAGACAAAGGAACTAAGTCAACATCAGAAGCACTACCTTAGGAGTTGAATAATTTGAGCAGACTAAGAAAATTTGTTAAATTAATTATTTGTAATAAATAGGAGTTGTCTTTCTTAAAATATCTTTGCTAATTATGTGTATATTAGCTAAAACCATTATTTAATGGAACCTTTAATATATGCAATTATTATAAGGATTACTTTAGAAAAAATAGATAAATATGAAAGTCAAAGTGGGTTGAGATCTTATATTTAGGACTAAATTAAAAGTCAAATTAACTCTTATATTAAGGACCGGAGGTAGTAGTATTGACATGAAGTCTTTGAAGATTGAAACGTAAGAGGATTCATGATTATAAATTTATAATATAATTGCAAAAGGATGAAGATTTACTCCCAAGTAGAACTGCCAGAAGTCCTAAGGTTCCATTTAATATGAATCATTAAAAAAAAGGGATAATGATTGAGATTATAATTGAAAAAATCTATTAAAAGAGAGTTTAGCATGAGAGATTGCTTGTTACATTGGGATTGCTTGAGAAAATCTAAGGTCCCATTTAGTACAAAGCATTGAAAATAATGGATAAGGATTGTGATTAGAATCAAGAAAATTTATTAAAAGAGAATTTAGCACGAAAGATTGCTTGTTATATGGGATTAGACAAACCCATATATGTGATATTGGAGAATATCATAGGAGAAAGTGATATTTCCCAATCTCACTTTCATAAGTCTGTTTAATTCCATGTAACAAATAATTATTCATGCTAAATATATTTTAATGATTTTTTTTCAATTACAATCACAGTCTCAATCTCTTATTTTCAATATTTCATACAAAATGAGACCTAGAGTTCTAAGCTCTCGCGGCAACCTATAGCCCCAAAACCCATATCACAAATTAAAGTTTGCAATAAGCAAAACCAATATAAATAAAATTTCAATGGAAATTTATTAATTTCAATCCT